ACCCCAGAACTTGGGAGGTAGAGACAGGAGAATCAAGATTACCAGGCCATCCTTGGCTATATGGTTATTTCAAGGACTAGCAGAACAGACAAAATGCTCAGAGTGGTATCCTATACTCTTAGTCCCAGGCAGAGGCAGACAGAACTTCGATCAAGGGCAGCCTGGTCTACAAATTGAGTCCCAGACTAGACAGCCAGGACTACACAGTGAGATACTTAAAAAACAAAACAAAACAAAACAAAACAGGAAAAGTAAAATTTCTCAGCTGGCTGGGAGGTGGTGGCACATGCCTTTAATCCCAGCACTGGGGAGGCAGAAGCAGATGTAGGTTTTTAAAATAGCCCTGCTCCAATACCTTCATATAACTGTTCATCAGAATTCTTTATGATAAGTGGGTAAACCTAAGTAAAGTATTTCCATGAGTTGTGTCCTATCTCAACAACTACAAAAACCAGCTACAACATCAAAAGGAATAAAGAATAGTTTATTGTGGAGCCCAATATGGGTAACCATGTCCCAGGAACACAGATTCAGATGACCTCAAATCCCATGTTCCAATGTGGTAACAATTTCATGCGAGTTTTTGTTTGTTTGTTGTTTTATTTGAAACAAGGTCTCTCTATTAAGTAACTCTGACTGTCTGGCTGTCTTGGAGTTTGAGGCCAACCTGGTCTACAGAATGAGTTCCAGGACAGCAAGCAAATAGAGAAACTCTGTCTTGAAAAAAAAAAAAATCTCGACTGGATTTGTTGGTACAGATCTGTAATCCTATCTACTCAGAATCACAAATCCAAGGCCTGCTTGGCTACCGAGTGAGGTCAAGACCAGCTTTGGCAAATTAGTGAGATCCTGCCTCAAAATACTAAAAGGGAGTTGGGGCACTAACTCAGTGGTAAAGGGCTTGGCTGGCATGTGCAAAGCCCTAGCCAATTCACGGAACAGAAGAAAAAGTGTGTAGACTCTGGATCATCTTATGACACTGAGGTGAGAACACCAATGATCTCTGTGTTTCTAGTCAACCTTCGGAGTGCAGCAAAGGTGTCATTTTGCCGTCGTATCCCAAGAGTCTGTTTTAGGGTCTTCAGCATATACACACTTAATAAATGGTTGACAAATCATGAATGAGCAGATGGAAAGAAGTAGCTTGTGCACCTCCCCTTTTAGCACTCCCAAACATTATTTGTTCCAGCTCTCCTGGAGCATATGATGGCTCATGTTCACCACCTACACACACCCTTGAATAAACCTGTGGGATGTCACCTGCCTTCCCTCCGGCTGTAACCAGGGCACCAGCCCGAAAGGGAAGCAGGTGAGAGACGTTCTGTACCAGGACTTTTGCCCTGTCTGGGTCTGAGCCACTTGGCTCAGCCTCCCTCATCATGCCTGGGAATCAAGCTGAAGGATGTGTCCTTGAAGTTACTGCGGTGCCAATCAACTCGGCTTGAGTCTGTCTGAATTTGAATACGGAGAAGTGGCAATGGGGGCTTTTTAGCAAATTTACTGAATAAAGTGAGAACCCCCAAGACCAGAGTCACTTGTTCAACCCCGAGTGATTATCCAGAGCTGCCTGGAGAAACAGTGATGAAGAGTCATCTGCCTTAATCAAGTGTACAGAGCAATGGGGGAAATAGTGATCAAATGAGATGTAACTGCATCATTTCAACCACACACATTTCTACTCATTCATTTCATCTTTGTAGCAATGCAGTGATAACCCAATATTGTGGACACTAAGGGAACATACGCATTTTATTTTAACAGTACTGGGAACTGAACCTAGAACCTTGGGCATGCTATGCTAGCCAAATGCTCTATCATGGAGCTGTACATCTCCAGCTATCTTACTTTTATTTTGAGACAGGGTTCCATTAAGTTTTGAAAACCGGCCTGAACAGACTAAGCAGTGAAGGCAGGCCTTGAACTTGAGGTCTTCCTGGCTTAGCCTCCTGAGTAGCTGGGATTCCAGGCCTGTGTCACTAGGTAGGCTATATGTACTTTATAGCCAGAATAAGGATGTGTGGACAGGTATAGGGGTCAGGAGAGATTATAGCCCGAAGGAACAAGTTGTCAAGGAACTGAACTGAAAGCCGCAGATGGGCAGGGGGCTGGATTACCTAAGGCAACTTCTCAGAGTCATTAAATATTATGAACTCACAGAAGCAGAGAGGATAGTGACTTAGGTGGAATTCTAGCTTTGTTCTTTTTTTTTTTAAATTACTTATTTGTATTTTATGTACATTGGTGTTTTTGCTTGCATGTATGTCTTGTGTGAGGGTGTTGGATCCCCTGGAACAGGAGTTATAGACAGTTGTAAGTGGCCATGTGGGACCCCAGGTCCTCTGGAGGAGCAGCTAGTGTTAACCGCTGAGCCATCTCTTCAGCCCCCCACCCCCAGCTTTGTCTTAAGCTCAGTTATTTCTCTGTACCTCAGTTTGCTTGCCTGAAAATACAAGTGGAAGGAACAGAGTGGATTCATTGATTCTGATTCTGGGAAGTGCTCTGCTGGAAGAAATCCTCAAAGCACCATGTATGTATAAATCCTGGGCACAGTTAATGCCACTTTTGGACTCCTGGAAGATTTAGTTCAAGGGACAGGAAGGTTAACCATAGGTCACTTTTGCAAAGATTAAGGTAGAGGGAAGTTCATCTTGTTGAAGCTGGCCAGTTTGGGGGACATTAACAGATTTTTCAGAGGGTCAGATAGTTTAGTTTCAGCTTGGTGATGTGAAACTTACGAGAGGGGCTTCCATTTGGACTCAGTCTGCCCTATCCATAGCAGTTTGGAACAATGGCCTGCGATTTTTTTTTTAATGTTCGCTCTGTTCCTTTGTGGGGGATAGAACCCAGTGCTAGGAAGCATCCTACTCCAGAGTTCTGATCTTTGAGCCTTACTTTAGTGTTCACATCAGACTCCTGTGAACATTTATTATGAACCAAGGTTGCATGCACTAGGTACTTTTGTGAAAAACAAGAGCCCCCTTTGGACAGATAGAAAAGTTTAGGCCACATGAGATCACCAGCACCTGAGTGTGTCCCGCCTATTGGGCACGGCCACTCTGGTTGCCTATTACAGGTGTATTCCATACTGAATTTGTCTTTTGCTCGGTGACAGTAGGAATCAGCACTGAGGGCTAACTCAGAGCTCATGGTGCTGCTTCCCCTTTATAGCCAGGGGCAACTTTTTACTCCATGAACAACAGGAGAAGACGCTGTCCCCCTCCGTCTTTTCTGGGTGAGGAATGCGCTTTTTATATCTTGGGATCGTATCTGTTTACTTGGTCTCTTCGAGCACGGGTTATTCCTGCCTAGTTTTGTCCTTCACTGTCCTTACACTGTATTCCTAGGTTTCCTCTTTGCAAAAGACACTAACTCAAGAACACATGCTGTTTGTGTGCGTGTTCTAGTCAAAGAATTTCACTCCCCTCCTTCTCCAAGGCTGCCTACCTTTCTATAAATAATTGTTCTCTTCCCTCCCTTCAGACCTCGGAGTAGTTTGGTGACATTAACGCACGCGCGCAGGAACACACACTTTCGGGGGGGCGGGGGTGTGAGCATGAGTGACCTTGTAAAGGTACTAGCCCACTGGGGATAGGATTAGCAAACCTGAAACCTCTGCAAATATTTGGCTTCCTCCCACATTCCTCCCGAGGCTTCTGGCTGTCTCGTGCCTACCTCACCCAGTACCCTTTAGGCTCGCTCCGCCACACAAAGCCCGATCCGCCTATCTCCTCTTCGCAAACCCTGAGAACTTCATTCCGCACGTTAAAACTCGTCGGTGGCGGTGGCGGGCAGGACTGGGCATGCTCAGTGGCGGGGACAGGTCTGGGAGGCGAGGAAGCCGCATTTGAAGTGGCTCGGCCTGGGGATGAGGGGGAGGCGGGCGCCCCGGCCGGGGTCCGCGGAGGTTCCCGGTGCGGCACGCGAG